ATATATTTTTTGGCCTAAAAACCGTTTTTAGATAGAGCAAAGGTGGACTCGTGCGCTTTCTTTGTTTGACTTCAGAACCCTATCATCTGCCTAAACCAACAACAAATCAAGAGTTTGTCTTGATTCTAAGGTTTGTAGTGGGTTCTTGTTCCATTTTGTTTTTCTCTGATTTGTTGATGATGGTCTTGGTAGTCTAAGATCTTGCCTGAACCCTATGGATGAGGTTTCTAGTTTCTTGAGTGTTTTCTCTAAGAAATCCTTCTAGGTTTTTAGTAGTTCTAATGTTTTGTCTGCTTTTTGTTTTTTTCCTGTTTGCTTGTTTTTTCTTTTATTTTTCTTAAAGGAGACTTGCTTAGCATTCCCTGTGTTATCAGTTACTTCTTTTCTGTAATTTGGTGATTTTCACATCCTTATTAATATATTATTTTTTCTTTCAACAAAAAAATCTAATACACTTTATGGTTTTGCTATAATTTGACATTATGTTGTCTAATCTATTTGGATGGTTCTATTGATGGCATCTTTAATGGTGTATCGACAACTATGAAAGAAGTGGAGGAGAAAAATACCTTTTTTTGGCCTAAACACGAGGTTTTAGGTAGAAAAGAGGTGAACTCGTGCGCTTTCTATGACTGACTTTTGAACCCTATCATATGCCTAAACCAACATCAGATCAAGAGTTTGTCTTGATTCTAAGGTTGGTAGTGGGTTGTGATTCCCTTTTTTAATCCTTTGATCTGTTGATGGTGGTCTTGGTAGTCTGAGATATAGTCAGAACCTTATGAGTGAGGTTTCTAGTTGGTCAAGTATTTTCTCTATGAAATCCTTCTAGATTTTTAGTTGTTCTAATTTTTTGTCTGCTTTTTGTTTTCGCTTGTTTGTTTATTGTATCTTTTATTTTTCTTAATGAAAATTTACTTAGCACTCCTCGTGTTATCAATTATTTTCACCTCCTTGTTAAATATTTTTTCTTTCAAAAAAAAATCTAATACACTCTATTTCACATTTTTTTATATCTATATTAATATCCATGGTATGAATATTTAACCAACACACCATATTTATTATTGCAAATGTCAAATAAATATTGTCATTGTTTATAAATTAATTATATGTAATTGTCAACTATTTTGGAAATATTCAACATATACAATTTTTAATATATGACATGCGTAGGACCAGTTTGTTTTAATTTAAAAAAAAGAAAAAGTTTCTTATAGTGTTGCATATTTAGAATTTTTTAAAAGAATTTTTTAATAAAATATTTAAATAAAAATTTGGTTTGAATAATTATTTTAAAATTTTCATTTTAGGTATTAATTATTTTATTGAATTTTGTTTGAATATTAAAATGTTAAAAAATTACTTAATTTTAAAGTTATTTCAAATAGTATTTTATAGAAATCATTTTAGAGATACAACTCTTTTAAGAAAATTATGATTTTTATTATATTTAAATATTCAATAATATATGTTATGTTATAAGATGTAAAAATTAGTGTTTAAATTTATAAAAAATGAATTTGAAAATTTTTAATATTTTGATTTTTTTTTTATATAAAAATCATTTTTTAAAATACCAAATAAAGAAATATTTTTTTAAAGATAAAACAAACGGTGCCTAAAATTAATAGTTGAATATTTTAACTATTATTTTTCTTAATTTCATTGGCAAATAAATTACTTTATTGTGTAATTTATACGACGTTGAATATTATTATATTCATTAACACACTTATTATTTTTAGTCTGAAACTGCAAACACCCTTTTCTTTAAAAAATTTTCTAGTTGAATAACAGTAAAATAAATATAATTAATAAAAATAGTAAAAATAAAAGGTCAAAATGATTAAAGATATAAAGATTTCATATTGTGTACGAAGATTAATGCATCTAGTGAATGTGATATTGTTTTGTGAGGAAATCAATTAGTTTGCTAATGTGTATTGAGTGAATTGTTTCATATTTTTGGATCCAGTGTGGAATTCTTGATTGAAGTTCCATTGAAGAAAAATATTGGTCTTCTCTAAGGAGTTGGAGTTTCTTGTTTTTATTAACCATTTGAAGATCAAATTCAAGTCTTCCAAGCAAAATTTTAAGGAAATTACTACAAGTGTAAAGTTTGAATATTATAAAGGTTGAAGGATTTGTTGAAGGTATTGTAATCAAGATCAAGTTGGTGATAAGATTTGTAGCCGTGTTAGCTGGGTTGCATATAAAGGATAACCAATAATGAAGATAAGGTTAGCTATGATTGGATTATTTTGTTAGATTTATCTAATTTCTTATAGACAACAATCAATTGTTGTTTAATTTGTAAAAAACGGGTTAATCGTGATTCTGATAAGGGTGTATATATAAGTTCTGATATTAGTTAAGTGATCTCTTTATAACTAAATGTTAGATATCTAAAACTTGATTGGTGTGAATAAAAATGTGAACTTTAATCTTGAATTTATAATGAAAACATCCGTTTTACAGCTATTGCTAAATTCTCAAGGTACAATTATATATAGAATTTCGGTAGAATTTTTTTAGGTTTTGAGTGCCCTATGTATGTCCGTATGGAGACTGTAAATACAGTCCAATTAATTATTTGAATATTGTTTTTTCTTCCATGTTAATATCGTAATTTTTGTTTTCTTTGTTTAAGTGGTTTCGCCGCATTTTATTAAATTAGTTTTGCCTTTCCGTTTTCTTTGTTTAATTGTTTTATTGATGTTTTTGAATCTAATATTCACCGACTGCACGGTAGTATTACTAATTGAATTATATATAAACCTATATATTGAATTATATATAATTAACTAGATTAATTATTTTCAAGATAATATGTATGATATATTTTTAAATTTTTATTATATTGTCTTGAAAATTTTATTAAATAAATATTAGTTTATATAAATTTGTAATATATTTGTTTTGTCACATATTTTGAAATTTTATATAATATTTTTTATAATATTGAGATTGATGCTGTTGAAGACAAAATTTATTAGAAATGATATTGATTAAATTCATGATTTTTTTTTGGCAAGAAAGTTTTGATTCTTATGCAAGAAATTCTATAAATAATTGTGTGTGATTATCACCAAAGTGAAATCACTCATTTTAATTTATAAAAGTCTCTTTGTAGTTTGAGGAATGATTTTAAATCATTAATATGATTGTCTTCCTAAAGGTGGACAATTGTACGTAGAGATTGCGGTTGATTAAGGATATAGGTGTTTTAGTTTATCAAAAGGAGATGAATTTCTAAACTCAATGTATGCTCACTGAGTACCTTATTCTTGAAATTCGTAGATGAAGTTATTATAGGTGTTTTAGTTTATAGAATTTATCTACCAAAGGAGATAGATTTTCGAACCCAACTTATGCTCATTGAGTAACTCGTATGAGGTTATGACCTTGGTTGTAACCTGGGTTCTGCGCATTCAACCTAAAGGGGATTGCATGACAATGTTGGCCTCTTCGTGATAGCTTATGTTCATTAAAGTTATATCTTGCCTTTATTATTCGTCCTAATACATTCTTGCTTAGTCTCAACAATGATCTTCTCTATGAACAACTGTTTTGCTTCTATTGAGATCCTGAATGAGTCTAATTTTAAGAATTGGAAGAAAGACTTATAGTTTTCATTAGGGATTGCTGACCTTGACATAACATTGCGCAAAACCAAACCTATGATCAATTATCAGAGTACACTTGAAGAGAAAGAAAAATTAGCTAAGTGGGAAAGGAGCGATTGACTTAGCTTATGTGCTATTAAGATAACTATTTCTGAACGTTTGATAAGTGGACTATCTGAGAAAGAGAATGCTAAAGAATATCTTACTGCTATTGCCAAGTGTGTAGCTGAAGAAGAGAAACTCAAGAAGGAAAGAAATGATTTAGACTTCCTAACTTTTCATGTTAAACCCCATTATGGTGAAAGTTCTTAGAAAAATAAGAAAAACACTCATAGTGCTTCTCATAGATATCCTGAATTTAGGGTAGGAAATGATCTCGAAGTCATTGTTGAGCTAAATGGAGATGTTAGTTTAGTTTTAGGAACTTGTTTTGAAAGATACATTTTATGTACCTTCTTTTAGGAGGAATTTGATTTTAGTATGAGGTAATAGCATATAGCACAGTCTTAATCAACTGTAATCTACCGGCATAGCTAAGAAGTCGAGAGCTCCAATGAGTAATCCTACTCAACAGTTTATCCACCAACGACATATAATGAATCACAGACAGCTTTTTGCTACTCACTGGGACTCCAAGATATCTGTTGAATCCAAAAAGCTAGTGATGGTGCGCTGCAGAATCTCCATGGAACCTTTATCACCTCTAGAGAACAGTAGGAGATCATCAACAAATGTAAGATGGGTGAGCTGCAGCTTTTCACATCTGGCATGGTGATTGAAATCCGGATTTCTTTGCATTCTGAATAGCAACCTGCTAAGGTACTCCATAATAATCACAAACAGGAGGGGGGACAATGGATCCCCTTGTCTAATACCCCTTCTTGCTTCTACCTTGTCAGTGTAATTGCCATTTATATTGAATCTATAAGAGACCGTGGTAACAACAGTCATGATCCAATCGACAAACCTCTGTGGCATCCCTATCTCATTGAGGATATTACCAAGAGCACCCCAATCCACCATGTCATATGCTTTTTGAATATCAAGCTGGACCATGCATCTAGGCGTGCCATTTTTCCTATTGTAACCTTTTAATAATTCCTTTGCCAATAAAATATGAGATTGAATATTCTGACCTGGTACAAATGCTGCCTGAGCTTTGCTGATTATAGACCCCAAAACTCTACCAAGTCGCGCAGTGAGGATCTTGGATATGATTTTATAAACAGTTGTGCACCCTGCAATAGGCCTGTACTCTTTTATCATTTTTGCAGCAGGATGTTTAGGGATCAATGTAACAATAGTCTCATTAAATCTTTTGTACAACACATTTTTCTCGAAGAATTCCTGGACAGCTTCAACAACATCTTGCTATATGACATTCCAGCTAGCCTTAAAAAATTTTCCACCATACCCATCAATACCAGGGCTCTTTAAGTCCCCAATCCCTTTAATAGCAGTACGAATTTCAGCAACAGTCGCAGGGGTAATAAGTTCAGCTCTCTGCATCATAATTAACTGTGGCCCCTCCCTCATAGCATTGATATCAATCATACTCACCCTATGTTCTTGAATCCCATACAGTTTTGCATAAAAGTCACAAACCTCCTTTTCTATGTCAGGCATATTCTGAATATAAGTACCATCCTCCTTTTGAAGTTGACTGAGGTGAGTAACTGCATGTCTAGAGTTGAGGTAGGCATAGAAGAAAGCTGAATTTGAATCACCTTCTCTAAGCCAATCCAATTTTGATCTCTATCTTAGCATTTTAACATTTAGGTCCTGCAGGTAAATCACTTCATCAGTAAACTTTCTCACCTTATCTATGTTCCTTACATTCATTATGTCCACCATTAACTCTTCCTGCGCTTTGAGTAGTTCAGTCCTGGCTTTAACAATGGACATATGGAGGTGAGAGAACTGCTTGCTCAATTTGATAAGAGGAGCCTGCAACCTCAGCAGCTTGTACCACAAACGAGCCATAGGTCTTCCCACACACACTTTATGCCAACTCTGCTTTACAATGTCCTGATACCCAGCCACCTTGATCACACTATTAGTAAACTTGAAGTTGGTGTGTACAGTCCTGTTTCTTTTTTGGTCAGACAAACAAAGTAAGCAGTGATCAGAAATACTAGGTGGGAGAATCTCTAGATTCATATCAGTGTTTCCCTGCAACCAGTCAATGTTACCAAGCACATGATCAATTTTTGAGTAAATAGTACCTACAGAGTGCTTATTTGTCCAGGTAAAATAATCACCTGTGCTATCCTTCTCAAAAAGCCCAGCATGATCCATCAAGTTTCTTAAATCAGCATATTCTCTCTCAGTCACCAAGTTTCCCCCAATCCTATCCATGGATTTTGTCACATTATTAAAATCCCCCATAAGGAACCAAGGCCCTTGTTGGTTGTTATGTATGTACACCAAATCATCCCATAATTTCCTTCTTTGGTCCAACTGATTCATAGCATAAATAGCTGTCATCCAGTTTTGGAAGTTACCATTGGCATCATATATTCCACAGTGTATCATCTGAGATGTGCAACTCACCAATCTGATGTCCTTATAACTGTCATCCCAAAAAATCCAAATCCTGCCATTGGAATTCAATTCCATCTGTAGATCCTTTCTCTGGACAGGAGGTAGCACCATAAGTAGGAAGAGTCTGATTGCTTGGGATAAGGTTTGTAAACCTGCTGTGAAAGGAGAGTTGAATGTGCTTGATTTAGTGGTATGGAATAGCATGTTTATGATGAAGTTACTCTGGAATATATGCAGGAAAACGGATGATCTATGGGTTCGGTGGATTCACGCCTATTACCTGAAGAATGAGGATGTAATGTATAGAATGGTTAAAAATTCTGATTCAAATATTTTTAAAACTATTCTTTTGCAGAGGGAAAACATAGGCAATATGCAGATGGTTTGGAATGAGATGGTGCAAGCAGGGAGATTCATTGGTAGAAGAGTGTATGCGAACTTGTTACCGGCCACACCTAATGTTGTTTGGGCCAAGCTAATTCTCCACAATAGAGCAAGACCTCGTGCAATATATACTCTCTGGATGATCTGTCATGGGAAGCTAGCCACAAAGGCCAGATTGAATTGGTTTGGTATGGTGAATAATGACCAATGTGTTTTTTGCTCCGCGGTGGAAACCATTGACCACCTATTTTTTGAGTGTGCTACTTTGAGGAAGGCTTGGGTAGAAACACTTCTGTGGAGATTTAGAAATGACACTTGTTTTAATCAAAGAAATGACAATAGAAATTGTACAGATAGAATCATTAACAACATTGTCTATAGAGGGTGGTCGAGTCCTAAGCTTAGACCACATATAGCTTTTTTGATGGTACAGTAAGTTTTATGTAGTTTCATGGTGTGGGCTGGATTTTGATCGCCTTGTATTACTTCTGTTTTTGGATTAATGAAATTTTGATTCAAAAAAAAATTGATTTTAGTATCTTGTTTGGATAAATTTGGATTTTAATTTACCTTTTATGATGGAAAAATAAATTTGATGTTGAATTCTCAAGTTGTTGGTAATGGTATCTTGTTGGATGGTTTATATAAGTTATCTTTGGATTGTGATATGGTTTCCTCATCCTTGAATGTTGAAAGCTCCATTGCTAAAATGTCTAAAACTAGAGAAAAATCTTCTTTGTTGTGGCACAAGCTTTTAGGACATATCTCTAAATAAAGAGTTGAAAGGTTAATTAGAGACAATATTTTACCTTCCTTAAATTTCAATAATTTAGGGATTTGTGTGGATTGCATTAGAGGAAAATTTACTAAGACCAATAAGAAGGGTTCAACTAGAAGTTCATATCTTTTGGACAACACATGAGGCCTTTTGCAAAATACTTGCAAGATTGTAGAATTGTTCCACAATACACCATGCCCGGTACTCCCAAACAAAATGGTGTAGCCGAAAGGCGAAACCACACACTTAAGGATATGATGAGTAGGTGTAATTTATCAGAATTTTTATGGGGTGATGCTTTGAAAACAACCATCTATATATACTTAGTAGAGTTCCTAGTAAATCAGTTCCAAAAATACATTTTGAGCTTTGGACAAGTAGAAAACCTAGTTTGAAGTAGGGATGACAACAGGGCAGGGTGGGGGCGGGTTTAACTATACTCGCAGTCGCACTTGCCTCCATGTAACACACCCGCCCCCGCCCCCAAACCCAACCGGGGGTAAAAATTTACCGCACCTGCTCTCACCCGCAAAAAATTAATTTTTTTAATTGCAATAAAAATTAACAATTTAATTAAAAAATTGATTATTTTAATAAATTAATTAATTATTTAATTAAAAATTTAATTAGTAAATGAATATTAACTTAGTTAATTTGATTATTTTAATTGTAATAAGGCCATTAATAATTTAATTAAAAATATAATTAATAAATAAATATTAAAATAAGTAAAATAAGGGAGTTAAAGTAAAATGCATTATTTGAGAGTAGGGCGGGGGTGGGTGCGGGCGGATCTTAGTGTCTTCCCGCACCCACACCCGTATTTAAGAACCGGGTTTCCCCCGCACCTGCACGCGCACTCAATTAAATTGGGTTTTCCCCGTTAATTTTGGGGCGGGTCCGAGCGGGTGCCGACGGGTCTGGGTTTGTTTGCCATCCCTAGTTTGAAGAATCTTCATGTCTGGGATTGTCCTGCAGAGGTTAAAATATATAATCCTATTAAGACAAAGCTTGACCCATAAATAAGTCGTTGTTTTTTCATTGGACATCCGGATAGATCTAAAGGATATAGATTCTTTTGCCGTTGTAGAGGTAATAAAATTGTGGAGCCCATGCATGCAAAATTCCTTGAGCTTGATATTGCTGAGCCTGTCATTGCATCTGGTAATATTGATTATGTTATGCCTGATGTTATTACTTTCTCATTGCCTAATTTTGATAATGCTAGATCATCCACTGCTCATGGAGGTTTTGCTCCAAATGAGAATGTGGCTGAACATCCAGTTGAAGAAGTGGTTGAACCACTTATTGAAAATGTAGTGGACCTTCCTATTATAATCGAGGTTGCACAACCTGATGAGCCAGTTGAGCAAATTCATGTTAGAAGGTCAGTAAGACAAAAGCGACCTGCTATACGTGATGATTTTGTAGTTTATCTTAGTTAGTATGCTTATGATGTTGGTATTGTTATTAATCCTAAAAATTATCTAGAAGCTATTACTTGTTCTTAATCTAGCATGTAGACAAATGCAATGCATGATAAAATGAAATCCATGGTAAATAATGATGTTTGGGAACTGGCGGAGTTACTAAGAAACTGTATGGCGATTGGATGCAAGTGGATATTCAAAACAAAGAAGGACTCGAAATGTAAAATTTAGAGGTTTAAGGCAAGACTTATGGATAAAGGTTTCACACAAAAGGAGGGGATTGCTTTTAATGAAACTTTTTCTCCTGTTTCCACTAAGACTCTTTTAGAATCGTTATGGCCCTTGTAGCATATTTTGACTTGGAATTGCATCAGATGGATGTTAAGAATACTTTTCTGAATGGTGATCTTAATGAAGAGGTGTACATGCAGCAGCCTGAGGGTTTTGTGACAAGTGGTAATGAACATTTGGTTTGTAAATTAAGAAAATCTATTTATGGTTTGAAACATGCTTCTAGACAATGGTACTTGAAATTTGATGAGGTGGTAACTTCATTAGGTTTTTAAGAAAATAAAGTTGATCAATGCATCTATCTTAAGGTCAGTAGGAGAAAATTCACCTTTCTTGTGTTGTATGTTGATGATATTTTGCTTGCAAGTAGTGATCTTGGTCTACTTCATGAGACCAAATTTATGCTAACCAAGTTCTTTGATATAAAGGATCTTGGTGAAACATCTTTTGTGTTGGGAATTGAAATACACAAGGATAGATCATGTGGTGTGTTTGGTTTGTCACAAAAGGGCTTATATTGATAGAGTTCTGGAAATGTTCAATATGCAGAGTTGTACGTCAGAAGATGTTCCAATTACTAAAGGGGACAAATTCAGTAAAGATCAATGTCCTAAAAATGATATTGAGCGGGTAGAGATGAAGGGAAAATCCTTTGACAGTGCATTGGGCAGCCTAATGTATGCTCAAGTATGCACTAGGTTTGACATTGCTTTCATAGTTGGTATCTTGGGACGATACCGGTCTGATTCTAGGAATGATCATTGGATTGTTGCTAGGAAAGTGATGAAATATTTGTAGAGAACTAAAGAGTATATGATTTTTTTAGGAGAGTTGACAACTTGAAAATAGTTGGGTATACTGACTCTGATCTTGCTGGCTGTGTTGATGATAGGAAATCTACTTTTGGTTACATTTTTATGTTGGCTGGAGGTGCGATATCATGGAAGAGTAAAAAGCAAACTCTTGTCGCTTCTTCTACCCTGCAGGAAGAGTTTGTTGCTTGTTATGCTGCTGCCACTCATGTTGTTTGGTTGAGAAATTTAGTAACTGAACTTCATATTATTGATTCCATTACAAAGCGACTAAAGCTTTACTGTGATAATAGTGCGTATGTATTCTTCTCCAAAAATAATAAAACTTCTAGTGGTTCTAAGCATTTGGAATTAAAATACTTGACATTCAGAGACCTTGTAAAGAAAAATGACATTGTTGTTGAGTACATTGATATTGATTTCGTGCTAGTTGATCCCCTAACTAAGGGACTTAGGCCCATTGTGTTCAAAAACCATGTTGAAAGTATGTGCATTGTGAGTTATTTTGATGTACTTGGTTAGTAGGAGTTTGTTCATTATGTAATTTTATTTTCATGATGTATTTTATTTTGAACACTTTAAGTGTTGGATTTTCGAGTACTTTTAATTTTAAGCAATTGATATTACAATGAATATTGTTATTGTTATTTGTCATTGTTTATCTCTAAGTCAATTGTTAAAATTGGGACTCAGTGTCATTGGGACCCACTGCCTATGGTCGACACTAATTTGGAGTTCGAGGTATGGTTATAATTTTGAGCTCGACATCTTCGGGACCGCTATTCTGATGGTCGATGCCATATTGGAGCTGAGGTATGATTTTAAGCTCGACGTTGTCTGGACCACTGTGCCGGTGGTCGATGCCATATTGGAGTTGAGGCATTATGGTTTGTAAAACCATGCAATTTCTTTGGATTTAATGCATTTGAGAGAAATTGTTAAGGTCTGACAAAGAAAATAGTAGTTGACTGTTGGATCACATCTATTTTCTTGCCACACTCCACACTGATGACTAGTTGACAGAGTCGTAGTTTTTGTAACCACAAAAGATTTTATGTCAATGAAGGATATAATAATCGTCGTGATTCAATATTTCTTGACTTTTATTGGATGGATTCATATTCAGATATTGCACCTGGAATCATGCATTTCCTTAAAATGCGGCCGCATTTTGAGGAATTAGTCATTAACCCGAGTGTCGTTTTCAAAATGTATTTTTAAATAAAAATCATACAATTGATTTTAACCAAGTGGGAGAATGTTAGATTTATCAATTGTTATTTAGTTTGTGAAAAACAGGTTAATCATGATTCTGATGGGGGTGCATATATAAGCCCTGTTATTAGTTAAGTGATCTCTATTATAACTAAAGGCTAGACATCTGAAACCTGATTAGTGTGGGTAAAAGTGCGGGCT